GCACACCAGTTGAAGAGACAAACAACAACAGACGGTCCGCCTTAGTTGTTTTTGTTTTGCTGCATGCATTGGGTGGTATGCATCGGTAAGCGTGTTGCTGCCTTGCCTTGAGTCTGCTGCGTAGGCGTAATTTGAGCGATAATGTAGATGGCAGCACAATCAATATTTTTTACGTAGTGAGGTATGATAACCAACAATCAATCTGCTCGTTCGTGCAGCGGTGCGCATCTACCGCGAACGTCAAGCGTATTGAGACAATAATAGTTCGTCCGTCGTGCTAGATGTACAGTCATGTTCTTTTTAGTTCTCACTTCCTACCACAAAAGATAGTCAACACTTCGCAAACGGTGACTATATTTGTTTCTTGTGTTGTTTGTTGTTGCTGAGCCCACATTGGATATCGCCGTTCGATACACAAACATCGTGTCTGACAGCCGCGGTGGGCCAGAGAGACGAGAGTGAGTGTCTTCTCGAGAGTTAATGCCTTGTCTTCTCTCCGCTCTTTTATGTTTTTAGTCTACCTCTCTCTCTCTCTCTCTCTCTCTCTCGCCTTTCGCTGGTGGGGTCCCAACAACATCGAACGCCAACCGCAGTCGTTTTGCTTCTTGCTGACTGAGTAAGAGGCTATACCCGTGCATCCGGCTGCTGCATGTGAAGCGATGGGCGCTGCCTCTTGATGTCAAGCAATAAACTTGGGCCCTACCTAGTGTTTGCTGCATATGCACTGCTATGTGAGAGCTTCCACCGGTCCAGAGCGAGCAGCGACGATGGTTTTCTGTGCTCTCTTTTGCCTCCTCCCCGAAGCCTGTCGCGTCTACTGACTCTTGTGGTGGTTCTCGCTTCTTTCTTTTTTGTATTTTTCATGCTTTGCTTTTTGGGGTCCCCCGGCTCCTGTTTTTGTGTGTGCTCATCGGGCGTCCCGCTGAAAAAATCGAAAGCTTCAGACAGGCAACGCGACGATACTCGTCGAGTTGCCATACACAATAATGTCACCTGTAATGCCAAAACGTAAAACACCCCAAAAAGGGACAAAAAATATCGTTTGGTTTCTGATGATGCACATACATTTGATACTTGATCATTTTGTTGACATACTTTCACAACGAATGTGTTCATCTGAATCCCTAGATAAGATCCGACTTTGTCAAAACATTTTCGAGAAAACGATGAGCAATGAGCGATAGAGGCAGGAAGATGGCGAACCGGTGAAGAAGAGGGAAACAGCACGCTCGACCGTGCACTACTGGCGCATGCAGAATGGTAGCGCATCGGTGTACCGTATGCGCTTTCGTCGTATCATGACTTTCTGTCTCTAGGTCGCAATGGTAACTCGGCCACACACATATGTTTTCATTGCAAAGTATACCACGTCTGAAATGAACATCTGAAATGAACATGATGCCGCTGGATGCTGCCACGCCGACCGCGAGATTCGATTTTTGACGACATTAATTGTTCGAGAATCCAAAAAGAGCCATCAAGACAGAAGATAGGAAGGGAACCGGTCAAGAGGACCAGGACAGCGTGCATGGCCGCAAACGTCTGGCACAACATGCAACTTTCTTGCTCGTCAACTCACCGAATGCACTTAACTTTCGTCGTGTTGTGGATCTTGGCACCATGTCGCGATACTCACTCGACCCACACACGATTTCACTTACTAATCCACCACCTGAAATGAGCCTTTTGCCGTTGGTTGCTGCCAAAAGCGGACTTTGAGATTCGATACCTTTAGTGACGTTGTTGCTCGAGAAGCCAGTCAGAAGAGCGATCAAGACAGGAAAATAGAAGGCGAACCGGTCAACGGGACCGAACAGGGCGCACTGTAGCACCCTTCCGTCGCAACATGTCGCGACACGTGTGCCATGGGTCGAGATCGACCTTTGAGACACGGTCGGGCAACGGTGGGGGGATCGGAATAAGAGGGCGACAGAAATGAATATAGGTCGGAGAGACTGAGGCTCACAGCTAGCTTCAGAATAATAGGAGATTCATTCCCTTAGAGCAATATATTTCGTATCTCCGAAATCCATTGAGCGAGGGGGGGCGGAAATCCCCGTCATCCCGAGATTTCGATCTGTACGTTTCACAAAAGTTGGAGAAGTGAGATTCACTGTCCGAAATTTATTGAGCGGTGGGGTCGGAAGCCCCACCGACAGCCTTGATATTCATTGTAACATTTCCAACAATGAAATTGGAGGAGAAGGCGAGAGATAGCTTTTGTTTTTTCCAAAAGGTTCCAGACGATGAATAGAAGAACGGCACAGCAAGACGGCGAAGTGGTAAACTAGAGGAAATGAATGCTGGGTCTGCTGCTGTGCGCGAACGGTGGTGAACTTATACACTCTCGCCACATGCCCTATCGAGAAACTGAAGACATCGCGAAACGGTCGCCGTTGGTCGACATCGGTCTATTGATTGCGGCCAAGCTAAGCATGATGTTCGAATCTTCCAAAAAGACTGATGAGGACAGGAAGACGGCGACCCACCAGTGAAAACGATGGAGAAACATGGCTGCACATGGCCGCACACTTGTGAGGTACGCTGCTGCTCGAGGAAGTCGATCAAACTTGGCGACAGGCCACGATTTGGGATGCCCTAGGGAGGCATACTCGAGATGTCGCGAGCCGTGCGTCATTGGTCGAGATCGGGTTTTGAGGTCGGGCAAGGGTGGGGGAATCGGAAGAAGAGGGTGACCAAAATGAATTTCGGCCGGAATGACTAAAGTATCTTGCTTCAGAATTGCTCAACTGTGGATGCTATGAGAAACGCTGTCAAACAACAGCGTACACTCGACGGTGATGGTGATGAAAAAGAAGAATTCGCGTGCAGGCACATTTGTTACACATGGTATCGCCTTTGCAACCGAGCGGGACGGAGTAATATCGTAGTTGTTTATTGTTGCTTGACGGTTAGGTTTACCACCTATTTTAGATCCGAGGACAGAGGAATGAAAATTCAATGTATTTTTGGAACTTCGCCCAATAGTGCTACATAGTACACCTGTTCGTGTCGTGTGCACTTGTCATTTTCTGTGTGTAGCCTTGCCAGATGAGGAAATCCATCCGATGATTGTGATGGATCGTGAAGACAATGCCAGATGGTATGATGGCCTACATGTAGTCCCCATTCCTACGGCATCGTCACCATCACCCGCGGAAGGTGGCAGATTTTGCCGTC